AATCTGTGCTAAAAAGAAATCTAGCTCAATCTTTGCAAAAAAAAAACCCTGGATGCTGCTTTCGGGCCTTCAGCACTCAGTGGCCAGCAGCAAGCAGGAGCTGCGGGGAGCCCCCCCGGTCTCCCCCTGGCATCAGCCAGGCATGGGAGCTGCGAGCTGCAGTGGAGCCTGCCAGCCCACCTGCCTGCAGCAGGAGCAAGCTGTAATTAACTTCTCCCAAGCATCAATTTGGGCAGAGGTGTCCGCAAGACAAATGGGAGCTGGAGCAAATGAATAGGCCTGGCCCAGCTGCAAAAGCAGCCCCTCGGTGGCATTCCCAGCCTCTGAGGGGTCCCTGCAGGTCCCTCTGCTGCAAGCGTGGCTCAAGCTCTGCAGGAGAAATAAGAAGTTGTGGGTCTGATGGGCGATGCTCATACCTCGGGTGGGCAGCCTCCTGGGAGCAGGTCGCTGGCACTCGGGGAGGACGAAGAGAGGGGAAAAAAAACCTCAAGGATTTGCTTGCGGGAGTAGCACTGCAGCGGCGTCAGTGCAGGACGGAGCCAGAGCCCCGCTCACGGCTCGGGCGACCAGTGAGCAGGCTTCGGCCGGCGGGATTTGGGGACAGCCAGCGGGATTTGGGGACAGCGGAGTGGAGAGCCTGGCGCCAAGGGCTGCTTAAAGGGACATTCACAAGCTTAGACCCAAAAAAAAAAAAAAGACATCTGCCTTATTTGGTGAGGAATGTTTGTTTGTTTTAAATGGAGTGCTCTTTTGCTGGGAAAAAGAAAGAGATGGGGATGGGGAGGGGGGTGGGAGAGGGAGAAAATAGCCCCTGCTGTTTACATGCCTTGGGATCAGCGCAAGGCATGGCCAAGCCACCCTGAGCGGTCCAGCGCCCCACGTCCTTCTTAAAAAGGCAATCGGCCCTGCTCATGTTCTCATCACGGCCAGCGGCACAGCACAGTATGCCTGTGCCCCGCAGATGTGAAATCCAGGGCGTGCAACAAGCCTGCCCGGGCGGGAGCACAGCCCAAGCCATGCCGCTGGGGATGCCAAAGACCACCCCAAATGTGGGGGTGCAGGAGGCCTTGGCTCCCCCCAGGACCCCCGTCCCCAACCCACAGCATGGAAATGGGCCAAGGGGATGAAGGATGGCTGGGGTGATGCAGTCCCAGCCTGGCACGTGGGGGCAGAGGAGGCGAGGGGCCGGATCCTGGGAAGCAGCTACTGCTGCAGCTCATTGCACTGGGAGGCAACGGGGGCTGCCGGGACTGGGGTCCCACCGCCCAGAGAGACACGCCATCACCAGTCCCTTATCTAGGGGAAAGGAAGCTTCTGTATTTATTTTGTGTAGGAAAAAGCTGCTTTTTTCTGCTGATAGAGCCCCCGTCACAAGCTCCCTGCTAACCCTGGAGCTGTGCTGGAAAGATAAACACAGCTCTTTTCCTGAGCATAACAAAGTCCCTCCATAAAGCGGGGTGGGTTTATTTCAATTCTCTGGTACTGTTTTCTCCTCCTGAGCGTGTGCAGGTTATCCCACCCAAAACGCTGCATGAGCATCCCCAACACAGTGCGGCCAAGGCAGTGCTGGCAGCTGCCAAAGCCACACGGCGATGTGGATGGGAACAGGGCAGGATCTCACCCCACCCCTTAGGGAGAGCTGGGCACCCTGGGCAGGGGCACTGTGCACCCCTGGCCAGCGCCCGCCGAGCTGCTGCCTCTAAACCCATTCTGCCTCCCAGGTGTACACCTGCCCGTTGTAGTGCCTGGGATCTTGGCTGGGATCTGCCTCTTTTTCAGCCTAGGAAAGAAGTTCCCTTTTCCTGGCTGAGAAATAAATCAAGCAATAAATAACTCCAGAGGCCCCAGGAAAGAAGAAACACTTTGAATTTACCCAGGAGGAGCTAACACCGGGCTAGTCTTTCCTAATGTAATTGCTACACAGACCCTGCAGGGAGTCCTCCCTCGATGCAGTCGTGCTAAGGTATACCAAAGCCAGATCCTCAGAGGCACCTGGCAGAGCATCCTTTAATATAACAGCCTTAACTCCCAAGTTTCTCGAGGTGTGCATGCGATTCAGCCTCTAGCCTCCCGGGAAAGCCCCGGCAAACTTTGGACACAGTGCAAAATGGGGCTGGTTTGGAAGATGAATGCCATAAAGATAGTACGTGCTGTGTCTCCCTCCCAGCACCCTCTAGTTTGTGGGTGTTTTCCCCGGATGCTCCCTAACCGCTGCCTCATCGCTCCCCAGAAGGAGCAGGGCTGGGAGTAGCAGTGAGAGAAGGCATCAGCCTCATTTACTGCAGGGATGCTCTACCTCTGCTGCTAATTAGTGGCATGAGGTGTGAGCGCCTTCCTCTCCAGTGGGAAACAGCTAATAAACTAATTAGGATAATGGGTAACTGAGAAGATAAAACTCTTTAGCTATTTGCTAACAGGTCATGGATGGGTGTGGAGCCTTTCCCTCAGCTACCAGCTCAGCAGCAGCGTGGGCAGCAATGGAGTGGCTTGTGTGATACCAGTGGTCCCAGCCCTGCAGCTCCAGCGATGCCCTGTGTGGGGAAGGGCCCTGCAGGTATTTCCCTGGGGATCCTGCTTTGCAGTATCCCTGTGCTTCTCCCCCCCACCCCCCCCACCCCGTGAGCCACAAGCCCAAAGTCCCTTTATTTTTGCACAGATGCTGCATTTTCCACACCAGTGCCCCACCACCCTGGGCAGGCAGTTGATGCTTGGCAAGGGGACCTCTGCCAGCTTGAGGCTGGTGACAAGGGTGACCCCAGAGGAGGGCACTCACAGTCAGTGCCCATCACACCACGAGTTTCGTGTCTTTTTGGGGTGCTGGATGAGGGGGAAGCAGATGCCTCCCCCAGACATGCTGCATCACTCCCATCCATCCCTGGCAGCTTGCGGATGGGGTAGGAAAGTGTGGTCCCAGCCCCGCAGCATCCTTCTGGGCAGTGCCACCAGCACAGGGTCAGACTGGCGACAGAGCCCCTGGAGCCACCAAAAGAAAGGGCTGCAGGTGTGAGATTTTAATGGGTAAGACAAATAAGGGCTCTGTAGTCTGCAGAGCAGACAGCCTAAACAAATGTGGATGTAGGTTTTCTGTCTCGGAAGGCCCAAAGGTTAAAAAACGGAGAATTTCCACCACCCCACCCAGGAGTGCTGAAACAAATGAAGTGATATCTACATTGAAAGCACAGCGGGCTTATTTCCAGATCCAGGGCATGCAATCCGGTCAGGAACTGCTCCTCCATTGGAAATCACCAAAGGGTGCTGAGCCCAGGCCAGGCTGGAGCCCGCCTCTGCCCTGGCCTGCGTGGGAGTCTTACCCTCCCCACGGCTGCCAGCCCACCCAGGATCCAGGTCACGGGTGGGAATGCTGCTTCCTGCATCTGAGGGGGAGAATTTGAGGCCGAAAGTGGATGTGACCTTGGGCTCAGGCAGGGAGCTGCCACGTGGCCCTCCCTGCCGTGTGCTGTAACCGTTGCACTTGGCTCTTGCCCTTTCCTCTGTTCAAAAGAAGCTGTTTTTAGTCACCGCTCTCCCAAAGTGCTTAACGGCTCTCTGATCCCAGCTGGAGAAAGAGACGAAGAGAAGAGCAGATCATCCACCTTTGCAAATCCCTCCCTGGCACGAGCCCCTTTCTCTCCATTTGCATCACACGTGCAGTGAGCTGGGACCGATCCTGTAGCGTCCCCTCCCTGAGCAGACACAAGGACTGGACATAGCAAGGGATGGAGGGAGCCCTGTCACACCATCGGGTGCCAATGGACCACCCTGCACAGCGTTAATACGAGGGCTGCAGGCTGTTTTCCACTGCTCCTCCATCCTTCCCATTTTGAGGCAGGATGTGAGCCCATCCTCAGCTCCCTGCGCTGATGGGGACCTGCCCACAACATGAACAACCCCCAAAGCTGCAAACTCCATGCTTCAGATTTTGGGGTACCCGGGCAAAATTGCAATTGCAAATTGCAGCTGGTGGGACCCCAGCAGCATCTGCTCTCCCCTGAAATGCCCACGGCTGGTTTCCTTCGTGCTGTGTGCCTGGGCTCCTTCCAGCCCTCATTAAAGCAGATGGGAAAGGAGCTCTGTCCCCACTGGTGTGGGACAGGTCGGGCCATTTGTTCCACTGCTGGTGGTGGAACCTTGGCTCTTGTTTGCCAAGCGCCTGGGGTAATCCTGCACCATCGTTAGGTTATTTTTGGCAATCACAACTCTTTCCTACAGGCGTGAAGAACCACTCAGTGCCCATCCCACCAAAATCCCCTGGCTGACAGCTCCTGAGCCTGATCCAGACCTCTCCATCAGCAGGTCAGACCCATCAAGGGCATCATGCAATTAAAAACCTGATTCTAAACTTTTCCGCCCTCATCCTCGCAGGGCTTTTAGCTGAGGGCATGGAAGGAGGGAAACTTCATTACTCTGCACTGGTGTCACTTATTAACCTGCCAGTTCCTAATGATGCACTTATCTCCTCCTGCCATCCCCAGACTCGATCAGGCACCTCCAGCGGGGCTCTCCTGCCCTACATTGCTCTCTCTTCATTAGCTTTTCAGTTTGCTTAATTGCTCCTGCAAATTTGCCCAGGGTGTCTGGCCTGGGGGATGCCCATGGGGAGATGGGACAGGGGGTGTGAGGGAGTGGGACAGCGCTCTGCCAGGCACAAAACTGCACTGAGGCGTGAGACACCATGATCCTGGTTCATGGGGATGGGAAGAGCAGGCAACACTGATGGTCTTGCCCGCTGCTGCCCAGCTGCACATGGGGCTTTGGTAGGGACCCCTAAACTGGCTGGGGTGAATATTTGAGGTTGCAGGAGAGTGCCAAGTACCAACTCTACCCAAGAGCTTTGCAGCTAAGACACAGCTCTCCTCCCAGCCAGCACTTGCACCAGCCCCGCATGCCCAAAACACGGGCAAAAGCTACTAGTGTGGGCTGCATCTCCTGCAGGCAGCTTGGGGGGGGTAGCAGCTCCCCGACCCTCTCCCAGCCCCGTGCCCCACTCTGACCTGCGGTGGTGGTGTCCACGTCCCTGGCCGCCAGCTCCTCCACCTCTGCCCTCTTGCGCAGCTCCAGCCGCCGCGAGAAGCCCTCCCTCGGCTTCCAGAGGTCTTGGATGAGCAGCGGCTTCTCGTGGTCACCCAGGACCCTCAGCCCCTCCGTCTGCCACTGTTTCTCAGGGCCCTCGAACCTCCCGATGACATCGCACAGGGCGTACTGCCCAGCGCTGAGCTGGCTCAGCCCGTAGCGCTCCAGGGCTTCCTTCACCAGCTCCCGTGCACCCGAGCTGCCCGTCGCCAGCACGCTCTTGTAGTTGGTGCCCGCACAGATGTTGCCCCCAAAGATCTTCAGGATGCCGGGCGCCGAGAGCTGGGTGGAGAGCTCGGCTGGGTCATCTTCATCGGCTGCCAGGGAAGCAGAGGCTGAGCTCCGGTCCTTGTAGCTCAGCGTCCGGTACAAGACTTGGGAGAAAATCCGGCTCTGGCGCTTCAGGCGGTTCTTGGATGGTGGAGCCATGGTGGAGGAGGATCCATAAAACATTGCGCGTGAGGTTTTCATGGGGCACAGCTGGGCAAATAAGAGGAAAAAGGGAAATATCAGCAGTTTGGAGGCCATATGTGCAGCAGGGAAGAGCAAGCAGGAACCAGCTGGTGGCCACTGTCACCTCCAAGGTGGAAAGGGACAGCAGCAAGGGAGGGCTATTTCCCTTGTGCAACCCAAAACACCAGTGGCCAAGCTCAGCCAGGCTCCATCCACAGTTACCCCAGGATGGATTTGTCCCTGAAAACATAGCCTGGAGTGATCCCAAATTTCTCCATTATGTGTATTAAGAGGTCCCTCTTGCCCAAGCAAAACGCAGCAAGAGGAGAGCAGAGCCCAGCAGGACTTGGCGGGGCCCATCCCGGTCAGGAGCCAAGGCATCAGGAGATACTTTCACTAATGAGTTTATGGAGCAATCCCATTTTTTTAGAGGTGAAACAGAAAGCTCAAGTGCAAATTCAATCACTCTGAGGTCACTGCTAAATGCTTTTGCTCACTGAGAGGCACAGGGTGAAAATGGGCTTTAATTAGCCTTTCTAAAAATGTCCTGACTCTGGCAAATCTCTTGGCTGTTGCTAGTTTGTGGAGGATGTTAAAGCACGTGGTGGCATCGCTGACAACACTGCCCTTGTCACGTTATCCAGGGCAGGGCTGCTCAGGGCAGCTGTGGACGGTCAGCGACCAGAGGAGAGGTGGCCACGGCCGTGCGACAGCTCCTGGTGCACCTTGGTCCCCAGGAACAGACTGGAAACCATGATGCACTTCTGGCTTTGGCAGACAGAGATCCTGCCCGATGTCACTGCCAACATCTGGACCGGCTTTCAAATCGCATACTGGATGCACAAACACCAGGCGCTCGCACGGCGCTGATAACGCTACCGGCTGCACCATGAACCACTGGCGGGGAAGGTCTGGAAAGAGAATTTGAGCGTTTCTGATTCAGACAGGACAGGGCTTTCCCTCACCTCCAGATTTATAATGTGCAGCCTGCGTGCAGGGAACAGGCATAGGCAGGGACTCGGTGCGTACACAGGGGACCCCCAAAATGTCCCATCCACAGCTATCGGAGCACTTCGATGCAGGGTGCCGGCAGCTTTCCACATCTGCAGCCCCGTCTTGCTCGGGCAGCATCTTGCCGCCAGAGCAAACCCAGCACTATCAGGCAGAATGATGTCGGCCCTGGAAAGCCTCCAAACCACCATCTAATTCAGGAAGAAAAAGCGTCCCTGCTGCTAATGGAAGAGGTCACCTTCTAACCCAGAAACAACTTCCCTGCTGTGCACAGAGGATTTCTGCAGGGTGTACATCTCCCCATCCCAGGACTAGAGGCCAACTGAATGCTGCAGATGGGAAAACTGAGGCACCAGCAAGAGCTAATGCTGCAGGATGTGTCCATGAGCTGTGCGATTCTGCTGCACCCCAAGTCACCCCTTTTCCCCCCAGTCCCACCAGGACTGTGAAAATGTTGGGGTTTGTCCTTCTTCCTAACCCACTGGCTCGGACAGCGAGTTCACAGCGGCCGTCTGGGTGCTGCGGGGCAGGGAGGGGAGCCGGCGGCCACCCGGGCCCTGGCACATTGCTGCTGCCTTGCTCACTGAAACTGGGCTTAGCAATCAGCCTGGAAAGCAGAGCTTAGCATCTTGTGTTTTGTACCTCGCCAGCCAAGCATTGGCCCCAACAGCTTCACCATAACTCGCAGAGTTTGGGGAAGGCTGTTTCTGCTCCCACCTTGCAACTGGGGAAACTGAGGCAGGGATGGGGTTAAAGCTACGGCTCCCCCCCGTGCCGCTGCTCCTCCTCAAACTGAGTCTGGACCTACTGCTCGGCTAGGGACATCCCTTCGTGTCTGCTGTGTGACATCTCCCAGGAGTGCTGGGGCGGACCCGACCTGGGGAGCGGGTCAGGGCACTGGCAGACAGTCAGGTTCAAGAACAGCTTCCCCAGGCTGTTAGCACGGCCCCGCCAGCCCTCATTAACATCGGGCAGAAGAAAAACTACCCCAGTGTCCCTATGAGACCTTGCCATCAGGAATGCATAAGACAAAACTTTGTCATCAAATCACTGTTTTCAGTTCACGGATTTAATTTCCTCCACCCTGAACTACCTCCAGCACAAAGGGAAACCTTTTAACATCTGCTGCTGGTAAAATCATTCCTCCAAGCCCACATCACAGACAGAGACACCATCCTTGCTTCTCGCAGGTCCCTGCCTGGTTTTGAATGTGTTATTTATAGATCAGCTATTTTCCTGCTCTTTCCATCAAATGCAACTTCTACAGAGTGCAGGGGCAAAGGCATTTCATGGGAAAAAAAATACAAAGCCTGGACTGAGAAAAGCTTCTAGCCTGGTCACCCTGTTATTCAACATCTGGAGCAACACTGGTGTGATTTCACCAGGCACCAACCCAGGCCACCTGAGAAACCGCAACCTTATCCCAAACACAGTGTAATGCACAGTCTTAATCCCCTCGAGGACTCGAATGGACACGATAAGATGATAACGAGATGGGCTCTTCCCACATCCGTATGCTCAGGCACGCCAGTCATGGGCATCTCCAAGGACGCTAAAGAGAAAACCACAGTACATGCAATGCCATCGGGTCCTGCTGCGAGAGCGGGGATGCTCCAGCTGGACCCAGCTACCTGGGGACAAGCTGGCAAGGGAATTATCTGTTTGGGCGCATCTTCCTGCAGATGGGTAGGACACGTGCTCCTGGACCTCCCCAGCCCAGGTGAGCCCCCTCCTCACTGCAGGCAGCCCGGTTCCCCAAACTGTGCCACTGGAGGACACAGGCCTGCAGCTATGGAGGCATGACCCAGACTTTCCAAAGAGTCCCTTTTTTCAGCATTCAGTGACATCTCTGCTAACAACTATATAGGAATTAGCCAAAAGCCTGTGATTGCCTCCTGGCAGGATCTCTACCAGGTATCCTCCACCTCCTCGCATGCTGTGCCTGGCCACACCAAAACCTGCTATTTTTCCCAACCAGCACTGTCTGTATTTATTCTGCAGAGCTATGACAAATGCTTTTGGTATTCACATGGCCACCACATGTCCTTCCATCACCACAACCAACTCTGCAACTGCTGGGGACTTTCCTGTGGGCTCTGAGGTTCCTGCTCCCACCATGGGTGAGCGGCTCCTCCCCGCTGTCCCCACCCAGCACCCAGGCAAAGCCTTCCCTTACCTTGCCATCCTTCTCACGTGCCTTTTCTCCTTCCATTCATCCTCTTCCTCAAAACGTGCCTTCCCCCCTGTCACACATCATCCGCATGCAGGCGTCCGTCACGCCTCTGCAAGAGGAAGAGGAGGAGTGGTCCTGGGCTGCTCACAGACATCAGCTGCTCACAGTGAGGTGGCTTTGGAGGGTTCAGAGATGCTGCGACTCCACTGTCAACATGCATTGCATTTGCATGCAGACCACTGAGTTGCACTTAAGCCCTACAGCTCAGCATCTCACTATATTTCCCCCCTGCCACAAACCAAACAGCCCAATCGCTCACTGCTGACCCCTGGGGATCCACAGCGGATGTGTGGCCGGTGATGGGCATGTTTGTACATGTTCATCCAGCCACAGCCTGTAGACGGGGAAGACCAGACCAGCCCCAAGCTCAGGCTCCATTGCAGCAGGAACATGGCAGCCTTGGGGGGGAGACGGAGCAAACCCAGCCATGGTGATGCCCACCAACATCTACCCCATCACAAAGATACAGGGAGAGAACAGCTATAGGAAAAGAAACACTGTCAGAAAGGAAAAGCAAAGAGGAGGAGAAGGGACCAGCAACAACCTTGTGACCTTTATCTCCTTCTCCCAAGCACACATGTCCCTGGGGACACCAGGCTGGGGACCCTCTGACCCATGGGTGGATAATGAGTCCCGGACCAGCTCCTTCCCTCAGCAGCCACAGCACATTGGGATGCTCACTGAGATTTGTTTCTCCTGAATTTTAGTCTATTTTGCTGGACATCGAGGACAGCCACCAAGCACTGTCCTCGTGCCCACCTGGCACAGATCTGCAGGAACACGATCAGTGTTCAAAAAAGAAAGAATAAAGAAGCACCTGCAAAGTGCCTGCGGTGATTTCACTGAGGTTTCTCAGAAAGAGCCAGCACGGCACAAGAAATACTCTTTTCCGTGGCTCCGCCATGATTAAAGACAAAAGCACCATCTAATTAAATCACCTAATCAGGGCCTTGGTGCGGGTTCGATCCAGCCCCTCTTGCTCGTCCAGCTCTGGGGTGACAGGGGGAGGGCGATGGGAGAAACTTTCTGCATGATGCAAAAGGCAAAGAGATGCTGAACCCACCTCTGCTGCTCGCCATTTCTTCCGATGATTAATCGCTCCCACTGGTTAAATATTTATGCCTTATTTCCAGTGTGTCTGGCTTCAGCTGCCAGACATTGATTCTTGTCTTGCTTTTCTCTGCTCAATTAACGAGCTTTTGGCTACCATGTATTTTCTCCTCTGTGAGAGTATTTAGATGCTTTAATCAAGCATCCCCGCTATTCCCCCATTGATTTACGAGTAGACTAACCCGATGGTGGTCTCGCCTCTCGCTGTAAGGCATTTTCTGCAGCCCCTTGGTCCCTTCCCCTCGGTTCCCACATCTCCTCCACCGAGATGGAGAGACTGGGTTTGGCTGTCATAAGGCCAAATTTGTTTCTAATAGCACCCTGACCGAAAATGCAAATAACTGCTATTTTTTCCAGAGCAAAATTTCCCATTACCCTGAAAATTTTCAACTCTCCAGCACAGAAATCAGGACAGACACACAGCCACCCCCCAGGCAGCTCCCACTGGAAGAGAGAGCTGGTGAGCACTCACGCTGCCTCTCCTAGCATCTGCAAGCATCTCCTGCCGAAAGCGGTGCGTGGTCAATTTATCATCCAGATTAGGGACAGGAAAACACGTACAAATCCAGTTATTATTTTTGGGTGCAAGAAGATTTCCATTTTCCATTCTGCTTCAGCTAGGATGCCTTTCGCTTGCCCAGTTTACCGCCCGGATTTGTACAAACTATTAACACTATGCTGCTCTGGGTCAGCCCCAGGTTTTTCCAGAAATCATTTCTATCTCCTTCCAGATTAGTGATAAAAGCATTGGAACACAGAGGGCATGCTGCCGGCCAGCAGTGCCCAGCAGTGATAATCTCCTCTGAAAACTGCCTTTGAAATGGATCAGGTTTATTTAATACCGGCTTTCTTGACACTGTATAATGTCAGCTCTAAATACTGGACTGGACTCACTTTTTAATACTGGAGAGTGCAGATTTTTACAAGAATATCACCTCACATAACTCAAATGCTTCACGAAAGTGTATTACAGCCAGAGAGTCGCCCATCACATCAGAGACTGAAATGGTTTCTACTTGCCAGGAGTTATTTTCCATATAGCCATGTTGGATGGCAGGAATTTATTCCTGGTGCTGAAGTCTTTAATCAATTAAAGCCTGAGCCAGGTTTCTCCTTCTCCTCCCGAGGGGGATGCTATCAAGCCAATCAACCTGTAGCTACCAGGTCATCTTACTCCCTTTTGGGAAGAGCAGCAACACTATTAAAACACTTTTTAATCTTCTGGAATTTCCCTGGGGCTCGTCCCAGCGCAAATGCAGCTCTGTGCAGATGGGTGGTGAGATTTCAGCTATAACCATCCCAGAATGGCAACCAGAAAAGCTGTTTCCTCAGATCTGTATTTGAAAAATTTCCTTTTTTTTTCCTTTTTTTTTTTTTTGGATGGAAACCACTCGAGTTGCAGCCTCGGTCTAATGGCAACGACCGCAACCTGGATGCTGCGAGCGGAGGGAGAGGCCGCCCCGGCACTGCAATGTGGAACAAATTATAACTCGGAGAGCAAAGGAAATGAGAACACCCTGGACGCGGCGGCTTTGACGTGCGCTCCTCGGCTCCAAATCCTGCCCCTCTGCAGATCCCGTCCCTACAGCCGAGGCCGCCGGGTCCTGCCGGGGCAGAGCACAAACCCCTCCGTTCTGGCTCAGAGCCCCCGCTCCCCTCCATCCTGGATCAAGTCTCTGCTTCAGAGCCCGGCCCTTTCTTGTGGGAGTTTTATCCATCTAAACTAGGGACAGATCGGAGGCTGATAATGTCGATGCCAGCCTCAGTGCCGTCTTTAGCCGGATCAGAGTGGATAAACTCCTTACCGCATTATTATTAGCAGCAGGCATTCTGAGGTAGCGCCCCCGGCCCCACGGCCCAGGGACTGTTCAAAGGCAGTCCTGGTCCTGCAAAGATGCACTAACAGTTTGTCCTAAAGGCAACTATAGCTCCACAAACAGATTGTAATGATTTGGGACCCGATTCTGCAAGGACAACAGCAGTCCTTTTAGCAGGTTTTCTTTTCGTGCTTTTTTTTTTCCCCATTATTTTGCAGGATTTTTTGAGCCGCCAACGTGCATCAGCTCACCGGTAATGCGCAAGTACAAATGCCAGCCCTCTGCCCGGGCAGCTCTATTCATACACACACGCAAGAAACATTTCACAAAGAGCATTTGCTTTCTGTGCCTTCCAAGCAGCAGTCTCAGTAGGCTGCCTAATTATAAGATCTTAGCAATAATTTTTTTTCCAGCGATAATTAACTGATCCTGGAGAGTGCTGAAAATAAGCACTTCCCAAGCAAGTAGCAAACTCCCCTGAGTTTTCTCTGCTAAAGTTACAACTCAGCATGGAACCGCTCCAGCCTCACAGGGACACGGACCGTCCCAGCACCTCCCCACCAAGGCCTGGGACACCACGACAGTCACAAGCAGCTGAATTCAGGTGAAATAGCGTGTGTGGAATAGCAGTGGGATCCCAAGGAGTGTGCGATGGGATAAGGATCCCAAGGGGCGAGCAATGGGGAGAAGGATCCCAAAGGTTATGCAATCAGGAGAGGGATTCCAAGGGGCGTGCAATGGGCCAAGGACCCCAAGGGGCGTGCAAGGGGACGAGGATCCCCAGGTGTCTGGCAATGGGACACGGATCCCAAGGTGCCGCAACTCCCCAGCACAGCCCTCCCTGCCTGCCCGCTGCCCCTCGGCAGGCAGCAGGGCAGGTTGGGTCTCCAACGGCAACCGGACAATCCTCAACCCTCGCCGCAGCCTTCCTCCTGCCTCCACTTTCCAAGGGGACGAGAAACAAACGTCCCCGTCCGAGCAGACGGGGTGGGGGGGGACCTGCTGGCCCCACGCCGGGGCTCCCGGGTGCGGGGGGTCAGCGCGAAGGGGATGGCGGGGGTGTCCCCGGGATGCTACAGAGGGGATCTGCCCCCACCACCACCCCCCCCCAAAAAAGGGGGGTACCTCGGGTAGGGTCTGTCTTCGCCAACCCCC